GTACTCACAGAATTAAAAAATAAAGTCACAGTAAAGAAATACAAAATAAGGATTAGAAGAACCTGGGAACTTACAATTTTATGCTTCTAGCAGCACAGAGATGATAAGATAAATGATTCTTTGATAAACACTGAGTAGAAAGATCAGAACATCTATAGTAAACAGGGATGCAAATGACAGATGACTCACTCTCTGTAGATATGACCAGAGTGATGGGGGTTAGCTATGTAAAAAGAAGCCACACATGAAGCATAGTTATGTGTTTTTTAATCTGAAGATAAAAGTTATGCCAGATATGTTTTTTTCAAATAAAGATGAAGAAAAATAAGGAACATAAAATGAAATTCTGCTGCCCTGTATTAACAGCCAAATTAGATTTGATGTAATACTATCAACAATTAAAAAAAAATCTAGAAGATAGGGAGACATTGGTTACACATCCACGTCTCCCTATCTTCTAGTTTTTTTTTTAAATTGTTGATAGTATTACAAAATGTGTTTCTACAATCTGTACACGTGGTAAAAATGGGAGTTCATAACCCACTTGAATCAAATGTATGAAATATGATATGTCAAGAGCATTGTAATGTTTTGAACAATAATAATTTTTTTAAAAAAAGATAGGGAGACAGCTGTTATGATCTGAAAATTTGTGTTCCCCCATGTTTTAGTCAGCTTTTGATACTGTGAATAAAGGATCTGACCAGAACAACGATACAGGAGGAAAGTTTTATTTGAGGCCTCACAGTTTCAGAGGTTTTAGTCCATAGAAGGCCAGCTCCATTCCTAGGGGCTTGAGATGAGGCAGGACATCATAGTGGAAGAGTGTGGTGGAGGGAAGCAGCTCACATAGGAAGCAGAGAGAGAGAGAGAGAGAGAGACTACCCTCTCCAGACACAAAATATATACCCCATAGCTGAGCCGCCACCTGCCTCCAGTTACCACTCAGTTAATCCCACCCAGGATTAATTAACTGATTAGGTTAAGGCTATCTCCCAATCATTTCTCCTCCAAACCTTCTTGCTTTGTCTCACATTTGAGCTTTTGGCGGATACCTCACATCCAAACAACAACACCCCAAAATATATATGTTGAAATCCTAATCCCAATATGATGATATTAGGAGATGGAACCTTTGGAAGGAGTGCAATTTGTGCCTTTAGAAGAAGAAACGCAAGAGAAGATTTTTCTCCCAATCATTCAAGGACAAAATGATAAATTAACAGTCAGCCATCAGAAGACAACCCTCTCCAGAACCAGACTTTGTTGGCACTCTGAACTTTAAGGGGCTGACATCCAGTCTCCAGGACTGTGTATAACTTCTGAGGTGTATAAGCCATCCAGTCTATGAAACTTCATTATAGCAGCTGAAACTAAGACACAAAGGATTGCAAATATTTTATGCTTCAGTGTCATCATCTATAAAACAAAAAGTCTGAATATTGGGATCATTAAGATCTATATAAAAGAGAAAAATTCTGATCTATACAAAACAGAAACATGTTTATCAGTGAATTTCAAAGGAAACTGTATGCAATGGCAAAACCCACATGAACAAAATGATGCTAATTCAGATAGCCCAGACTATGAACCATTCAATGTCCTCACATGACATCATATCACACTTTTAAACAAACACTTCCAGAAATCATCAGTTTTTCCTGGGACTCATCAGGATCACCAGAACAGGCAAACACACCCAAAACCCTTTTTTGACTCTCTTCTCTACAAATCTCTCTCTCTCTCTCTGTCTCTCACACACACACACACACACACATACACACACACACACACCTTGCCTTCCTTCCTTTAGACAAATAAAAAGAAGTTACATCTCCTGGTCTCATTTTCCAACACTGGATAGAAATACACTATAAATACCTAATCTTGCCCACTGATCTACTCTAAAGAATTAGAAGATTCTAGAGTAGAGAATTCCAAGAATATCTCATACTTCCCAAACCACTGCATTTTATGATTTTTTTTGAGAATACAAGTTTTCTGCCACACAATTTTCTCCAATCTGTTCCAGCCTTCACTTTACTTCTTATAGTTGTGGGTCACAAATGTTGTTTCTGTTTGCTCAGATTAATTTGAATACTGCGTGTGTGTGTGTGTGTGTGTGTGTGTGTTTTGTAATGCTGCTAGTGGAGGATAGGATGTCTTCTGTCAAATATGCTTGCATATGTATACATAATGCTTTATTTTATATATTTACTAAGTGTGAGATGAAGTGATTCGACTTGTACTATATCTGTATTTTTTTTAAAAAGCTATACTATGAATGATAGAAAACTGTTGACATTTTAATACAGGGAGTTAAATTAGAATTAGAATTAAATAGAGCACACTGCCTTAATATCACAATATCCCCAAGTATAAATCCTGATGAAAGAAATTATTTTTATGTACTGATTATTTAGGAAATTACATAATTGAGATAAAATTGGTGTTATATTTTTAAATGTTATTTTTACTGTCATCCCTGAAGTGCTTTGAAGTGGGTTCATATTATAAACCCATTTTTCTGGTGAGAGAATTGATGTACAAAGATTCTTGGATAACTCAGCAAGGATCACACATCTGAGGACTAAATTAAATTACTGAAAATAACTTTCAAAGAATAAAAGGTTATATAAACATAATAGCATTAACAGATTATAGAGAACAAAAGATAGGAGCATAAACAAAATATTACCTCATCCACCCTGATGTTTTCATTTTAAAAAATCAAAAAACTTTTCAAAGAAGCATACTGCTAAAGTTTATAGTAATAAAAAATTGCATATGTAAATATAAATTAAACTTCTTCTAAAGAAATATATAAGGATAAAGAAAGTAAAAGTTTTACAGGATAGACTACCATTTCAAAGAATTTCTTAAATCTTACTGAACCATCAAACCCTTAAAAGAAAAATGAACTTTAAAATGTCTTCTAGGGTTTCTGCTATCCCAGGTAGGTAGGTATTGATCATAAAGGGCACCTTTTGAATTGTCTAATGCAAGGAGTACCCAGGATTGTGGCTTTCTTGAAAAATGTTATTACACATATTAAATTTTTTTTGAACAGTCTTAGAAGAGCTTTCCTTTGGTATTCTGACTCCCATATGATTCTTGTCCTGGAGAATTGCATGTCTGCATGGTACTCACAGGACACCGTCAAACGGGTATCATAATTAGGTACAAATATGTTACCATTATAAATGTAGAGGTAGTGATAGAGATAGACATGTTGCAAATTCAGATTACAAATCAAGTTGACAAAGCAAGAGCCTGCCAAAGCAGGTACCCCACCCTCCCCACTGGCCCTTCCCTTTTGTTAACACATGTTCAACTCTTTTATATCACAGGAGACAAAGAATTCCCTTTAAATATTTTTTCCCTTTCTGCTGTTGTTCTTTTAATATCTTCATTCGTTTTTGTTTTTTTAAAGCTTGGTTTACTACTATACATCTAGTTTTTCACTTATTACTCCCTCTTTAGTCTCCATAAACTTGAGTGCCTGTACACCACAAGCTAATGACCCTGCTTCTTCCCTTAATTCAATAAACAACCGTTCTTTTGACTTTTGGTTCAATTGCTTATTCTTGGTTGTCCTCTGTCTTCTTGAAACTCACTTGTCCTTGCTTGCATGAGTCCACTTAATTTTCCTTCCACTTTCTCCTGTTCATGAGTCTCCCTGGTTGACTCTATTTACCTGATCTGTATCCACAACATGAATATAATCCCGAACAGGGGGTCACAATCTTGACTGTGAATCTAATTACCCTGGAAGGTTTATTAAAACAAACACATAAACAGTTTTCCAGGCCCCAGTTTCAAAGCCACCCAGTTCAGTGGGACTGGAATGAAGCCTGATAATTTATATTTCTAACAAGTTCCCAGATAATATGGAAGCTGCTGGTTTAAGAACCACATTGAAAACTACTGACCTAAGGTTTACTCCTTTTCCCTTTTATGGATTCTTATTCAGAAACTTCTTCTATTGTGATGATTTTAACTATCACCTGTCATAAGTCACTGTTAAACTGATATATCCAATCCTGAACCCTCCACTAAATTTTATTTTCACATCTGTAACTTCTATTTTTATTTATTTATTTATTTATTTATTTGTTTGTTTGTTATTTATTTTGATACTGGGGATTGAACCCAGGGCCACTTAATCACTAAGCCACATCCACAGCACTATTTACTTACTTATTTGAGACAGGATCTTGCTGAGTTGCTTAGAGCCTTGCTAAATTGCTGAGGTTGGCTTTGAACTCATGATCCTTCTGCCTCAGCCTCCTGAGCCCCTGGGATTACAGGTATGCACCACCATGCCCAGTTCTAACCTCTATGTTCACTTGCTCTCCTTCCAGAATTTAATATGTATAACCTCGTTCATCATCTTGTTTCCCAGGCACCATTTCCTCCCTCAGATTTTCTCTTTCTTGTCCCTTGAGTATACCCATCATTTCCCTCATCATCTAGGCTCCATGAGAAGATATCATTTTTCTTGCCATTTGCCATCAACCTTGGTGTCTCTTGACCGCCCTTCCTTGCATTGTTACTAGGCCAAGTCGCTGCAGGTATGCTTTACCTCACACCTGGACTCTGATAATCACTCTTTATCCTTCTGCCCAAACACTCTCTTTACACAAATACTACTGTCAAATTAATCTCCCTCCAATACCCTTTATAAACTTTGATAGTTTTCTGTTGTGTGTGGCAGAGTTTTTCAATTGATAGGGGTCATGAATAGATTACAGGTGTGCCAGTATGTCCATTTCCTAAGCCATCTGGCCTGGCTTGGGACAGCTGAGCCCTAAGCAGTCAGAAGCAGCTAAAAGACCACTTCCTGTTTTCCCATCACCACTGCACATGGGACAGAAGTGGCTTGTGCTGTGGCTGGTCTTCCTTGGTGACACTAAGCAGGCCTGGGTGGGACAGCTGAAGAGAGCACCAGCCTGGAGCTTCTGGTTTTGCAGAGGCAGAACATGTCAACCTGCACTTACCATCTAGTTCAGAAGCTGGAGGCTCCACTGAAGAGAGCTTTGACATCAAAGTGAATTGGTGAAAGCGCACAGCATTGTAGAAAGGGGGGGAGATCCTGGAAAAGGAATCATTAAAGAAGCTGACACAGTAAAATTTAAGAACAACAATAACAAACTGGATGGCTTGAGTAATTCAGGAGGCTGATAAAGATGAATGACAGACCACAGGGAGGGAGGGAACAGTGAAAGGGGATTGGAGAGTCAAGATCTATAAAGGCTGAATAATGCACTGGATGCAAGCACCAAATCTGCAGCCTGGGCTCAAAATCGGACTCTGCCTTTTTCAGCTATTTGACCCTGGGCAAACTGCTTGACATCTCTGTGCCTCAGTTTTCTCTTCTGTGTACTTAGCACATAGCGTTAGTGTAAGGATCAAATGAGTGGATTGTATGAGGAGCACATGGAATCATGACACTGCACTAAGTCTTCTCGATCCCTCTCCATTACCAACACTATAGAGCATATGCAAAGACAGTCAGCCAACTCAGGAGTGCTGAGACATTGGAACACCTACTTTCTATTAAGAAGAAGAAGGAATGCGTTGTGGCACAGTAGCATCACAATCTATAAGCTTTGTGCTTTTTTATTTTAACAATACATTCATATTATAGTAAAAAAAATCTCAATGAATAATACTATTCCTCTCATTTTATACAGGAAAGTTTACTCAAGAGACCAAAAAGCCTAGATCAGAAGATTTCCATGACAATTCTTTCAAATCACAATTAACTCTAAAATTATATCAAATTTAGATTACTTTCAACCACACAATTTTTTATTAGAGCTTGATGGTTAGACATAGTTGTTAGGTTCATCCTGACAAACCCATAAATGCATGGAAATGATTCCCTCCTTTTCCCTCCCCATTTCCTTCCTGGCCTCCTTCCCCTCCCCCCTTCTCCTTTGTCTACTCTGCTAGACTTCCTTTTGCTCATCTATTAATTTGTATTTGATTAGTTCTTTATGTACTCTTATCCTTCCCTCTTCCTTTCCTTTATTTTATTCTAGCTTCTTTGTATAAGATAAAACATTCAACCTTTGAGTTTCTGAGTTTGGCTAATTTCACTTAGCATGATAGTCTCCATTTTCATCCATTTAGTGGCAAATGCCACAACTTCATTCTTTTTAATGGCTGAGTAGAATATATCATATATGTCACACTTTCTTAATCCACTCATCTAATAACAGGCAACTGTCAACCACACAATTTTTAAGACATGGCTTAAACAATAGGAGATATTACTTATTATCCTTAATAACAAGCTCAGCAGATGGAGCTTTGGGTCACTCCTCTGAAATTTAGATGGCTCCTTCTGTCTAATCATACCATGGCTTCCACACCTTCTGCAGCCCAAACTCACACAACAGTGTTCATGAAGGCAAGATGGGGTGGTGAGGCTTATCTCCTCTCTCTTTTCATCAAGTTAGACATTTTTTCCCAGAATCCCTCAGCACTCCTTCCCTTAAATCTCATTGTCCATAAATGGACAGTATAATCACCATTGGACCAGCCACTAGCAAAAGGAAATGGGATTATCACAACAGTTTAGACAGACCAGGACTACCTCTGGGGCTGGGCACACATTCTCTAATTGTATCGTGCTCAGATACCTGAACAAAGTTAGGAGGACTCGAGCAAGGAATAAGCTAGGCAAACAATATCCTTGGCTTGACAAAAAGTCGATTAGGGATATTAAAAAAGTGCCAGAATTTAAGGTAAGAACTAGAGATCAACTGTGAAACATCATCCTTATGCTTGATTTCCAACATCAGAATAAGTCCAGATTTCTATTCTAATAGGGATATCCATGACACTGAATAATCATACAAATTAATTTAATGTTTTCCAGAAATTAAATACTCTCTTAAAATTTTAAGTCATACATGCCACTCACATAATTATTTCACATTTGCTACTCATTGAGTTATTCATTAAAATGATGTTGTCCTAAATCTTTCAATACATCATGAAACATCAGAAAGAAAACAAAATTCCAAACTATTTGATATAATACATACAATGAAAAAAAGTAACTTTCCTCATAGTCACAAGACAGTGTCTTGTTATTATGTAGGCTGATTTATCTCAATCTCTACAAGTCTGAGATATACCCAAGGTCAAGTCTTGTCCAGCAGGTAGCACTTGTTCCATAAACATATGTTGAATCAAAGAATAAATGAATGCAAGTCCTTTCAAATCATCTTTCTATTTGCCTTTTTTCCTTCTTTTTCCCACTTTATTTGCAGTGACTTTGTTTTATTTATCATTTATTTTTTCACCATTTCATTTGATCTCACTGATAGCACCTGGTTTCCGATCATATATTATTTTGTTTTATGTGGGATTGAGAGAGGTAAAAGGTATGATCAGGGAGATTTATAGATATAGATGCAATAATGAAGGTACAAAAATGAGCAAAGAACAACTGAATGTTCACTAGGGCCCTAACTACTATCACTCTGATTGTTCAGTTTCTTCAGCCTTCAAAATTAATGTTTAATAGACATTTTCCTCTATAGCCAGGATAGAGAAAAAACCATGCAAGATTTCCAAAAGGGTTGCAGAGGTTATAGAATATTCTTTCAATAGAATGAAAAAATCTGATATTTTAGGAGTGTCCCTCTTTGCTAGCCCTTGAGCAAACTGTTTACAACTTTGCAGATAGAAGTTAACATGTGGAAAACTTGTAGAACACCATGAGTGATACAAAGAATCCCACAGAAATGCAAGCTGTGGAATGTGTCTGATTATTGCCCTCTGGATATTGACCAGTTTTGTCCCTATTTGTAAATTCATTTCAGCATTCCTAGTCTGAAAATACACGTATGGCACTTTGATTTCTCTTTTGATCTCACTATATATCTCACTGGCTATCTGATTAATTAGTAAGTTAAATAAAGTTTTTAATGCATATTCATCTTATATGAGAGGCATGATTTTACCTTTTAAAAAAACAAATATTAATTTTGTGAAGTAAATAGGACTGGTTTAAATTAACAATTTTTTAACAACAGAGCATTTAGAAATCTCTTTCCATCATTCAAATTCACTTCTCCACTCCCATTTTCAAACCAGCAGTGTTAAAAAGCATTCATGGTGCTTGCCTGAACTTGCTGAGATGGCAAACAGTTGACTATTTCTTCAGTGAGATGTTCTTTCTTTAATTAGAAGATGAACCTGTTCAAATTCAAAACTCAAACAGACATTTATGGAGAAATTCAAGAAGAGGGACATAATATTTAACATAGCACCAATCACATAGGTAAAAAAAATTTAAAAACAGAAAACAGTTCTCACGGTATCTGACCCTAACACACCGTTTAGGCTTATTTACTAAACAGAGTTGCCTTTTTTGCATATAATTGTCATAAATTACTAGCCATAAAATTTCTTAATTGGATTAAATGTGTCAAAAAACAGGCCATCTATCAAGATAAAGACAAACTGTCACTATTTGATTGAAGAGGGAAATGCCCTTTTTAAGCTTAAACAAGACATGACTTTCTCCTTTAAGAAGACTCAAATATTTGCTTCGGTTTTTGTTTTAAGCCAAGAAGCAGTTCTTACACTTTAACACAGTGGAAAATGTCTCTCCTATCATTCTTCTCTTCTAAACCTCCCCTACAGTGGCTACTGAATTTAAAACATAGATGTACCTCTGTGACAATCATGTCACCTCTCTGTTTTTTTCTCATGCGACAGAAAGTGCACATCTTCTCAGATTGATGTTTCCATCTCAGCTGACTGATCTGGCAGGAGGAGCAGCTATAATTTCCCAACAGGTTGACATAGCAAAGCCTGGGCTGGGCAGACAGCACAGGACCTTTCATCGGGTGTAATCTACAACACATGCGTATTACAGAGTGCCAGGTGTGGATCCGTGGGTGTCACAATGAGTCACAAGAAAAGGTATTTCACCCATTTTGGGTGCTTGATATCATAAAAAACATGGGTATGAACCACAGTTTTACCTTTTTGGTGGAAAATTATAAAGGCCAACCCACAGTTGGAAATAAATGTGTTGTTCTCACCAAGGAAGCCATCAAAAACAAAAACATTAATTTATTTCAGGAAATATGTCCCAACCAACTGGCTGAAAAAGTACTATTAAAAAAACGAAAAAGAAAAAGAAAACCTCAAGAATGCATAGCACAGTAGTGTGTCTGACCCTAACACGTTGGCACAGTGAGACACAGCCTGACACAGCTAGGAATGTATATGATTCCATGAAAATTGTACTTGCCTGAGATTTTTCTTAAACATATTTTCTTTAGAACAAATCAAATTTCCAAGTAAGAATATTAATACCTGGAAGAGAAATATGATAATTTTTTCCTTCAAATTTAGATCAGTTCCTTTACTTCTCCCCTTCATATGCATGTCACAAGATGTGTGAAGTTTAAAGAGATCTAATGATTATTTCCTTCATGGAACCAATCTTATCAAGAAAATGAATGTTCTGGTTCTTTGTGTCCTCATGCATCAGTCTAGATTCTTAAATTTTCTTACCATCATCATCTTTCTCCAGGAAAATTCATTCTGCACTTATGTATGTTCTATCACCTGTCCCTACTTCAAATCTCCAACATCATTCTCTTCTCCATCTCTTATGTAGGCCTGCATTAACTCGCAATCTCCATGACCTTCCCTCACCAAACTTGCCTGTACCTCATCCTCTGTCTCTAGGACATACCTGTCCAAACTCTACTAGCTGTTACTATTAAAAAAAAATAACTGTGTCTTCTAGCTTTTCAAGGCTCATTTCAAAGTTTTCTCAGTCCATGCCATCTTTTCTAAATTAGTAACAAACTTGTTACAGAATAATTATTTAAATTATCTTCATTGCTCCATATTGTTATTAATTTTCGATGAAAATATAGCTTTCATCTAAAGACACATCTAGATTTTAAATTATGAAGGTCTCAACAAAATCAGGTATTGCAATACCATCTTGAGCAGGCTCACTTCAGATTGCTATGTCAGGAGACAATAAATAAGTCTCTCTTCTTTAACCAAAATTATTATTGGTTTTGTTTACTGTAGCCTTGCTTCACCTAAACTGATAGATGTTCTTTGAATTTGGTCAGTAGATTCCTGCAACTAAATGCAAAAATAGTCATCTTGGAGATATCAAAAGATTCAACGTGATGTCTTTGGAGAAGTTGAAGTCTGAATTCAGTGGTGTCACTACCTTATTCTATGCATCCCACCCTAGCCCCAAACCCACCTAAGGAGCAATCCTAAAAGCCAGGATTTTTACCATCTTCTACAGAAGAGGAAGATATACATGACAATGTGATTTAATCAAGGTAACCTAACCAGGTTACTTTGGCTCCAAAACTATGACAATTTTATTCTCTGTTCCTGCCAAAATCAGAAGTGTCTGAAGTCCTTGTGTAAAGACACAATTCTATTGCCTACAGATCCTTAATGAAACATTGTATTTTTATATGATGATTATCAAAAGCAGGCACTTTACTATTATAGTGATGTTTCACCTACCTTCCATTTAATGGATAATTAGTAGTTTCAGGACATGTAGACATGAAAGGGAGAAAATGAGATTTTAGTACCAGCTGAGGGAATCTCTATCCTGTCCAACCAGGAGCAAGATCAGGACCGCTGGCACCTTGCCGTAACACACTCAATTTATTTCCCTTCAACATTTGTGTACTATTAGAAATTCTAAGACTCACTGAAATTTTAAAGAGCCCACATGAAGGTTCTAGTAGTCAGACATTTTATCTTCTTTTCACACAAACCAAAACATTAGACTTTTCCTTTCCTATCTACTCATCAGAAATATATGTCAAATGTCCCATCTCCACCTAAAACCTTGCTCTTTGTTAAGCATTATATTCTGATAATGCATAAGACTGCCTCTCACTAATAATGTGCTTAAGTTTAACTATAGTTTTTTATAAACAATGCCTAAAATTCAGTAAGTACAGAAAAATTTCAAACACTGTTGTAGAGATATTTTAGTTATTTGGTCACCCCAGGCCTTTCCTTTCTCTTCATGTACCCTTCCAAATGCGGTAGTAATGCTTCAACAAAGATGAAACATTAATGATGGGTTATTGTTTTTATATTCATGTTTATTAGTACATTAAAGATTTCTAATTTTTTTAACTTTGTATTGTTGACAAATTCAACTCAGAATAAGAAAAAGTAAAATCTTTGTATTTAATTCTGATTAGTGTGAAATAAACATGCAGGACTGGGGACAGTGTTGAGACAGTGTTAAGAATGAACTTTTCCTGAGCGTCTGTTTTGTGACAGCCTTCACACACAGAAGACAGGCATTATCCCCCGTTCTCTTCACATAAAAACAGAAGTAAGTTTGATCCCTCCATTTTTTTGATAAATGAGAATTCAAATTCAAATAATAAATGGTGAAGCTAGGATTAAATTTAGATATACTTGATTCCAAAGTTAGTACTTTTTGACAAACCTTAGGGGGGAGGAAAAAACGGGTCATGTAGGTTTTTTAAACTCATTTAAAAAAAAAAGTTGTCACATTCAGATAAATACCTAAGAATCTGCAAGTAGACCTTTTATTCCCCTCTTTTTTTAAAGTTCAGATAAAAAAGTAGGTAGCAGCCCAGAAACAAAGATTCTAGAAGGCAATGTGGTTTCAAAATAAACCAAGAGAGGGAAAAATGGAACAGCATTCAGATAAATTACTCAAGTTCCCCAGGAGTTCTCAGATGAACTGGAATTTCAAAAAGACCTATGTGAAAGCAGGAAGGAAGGCAGGACAGACAAGATGAAGGGGGCAGGGAGGAGCTTACATCTCTGGCAGAGCATGTGGAGGTCTCAGACCTGGACACACTGAGGCTTGGAAGGAATTCCAGTCATCAACAGGATTTGTAAAACTCTGATGAAAGGGAACCCTGTGTAGGAAAGGTATTTAATATTTACAGAAAACAGACACAGAAGACTTATCAGTCCTCATTTGCCTCTGTCATCTTCACCAAGGGAGATAATGGGGAAGCATTCCCAGGTAACAGGATGTGGTTTTGTAACCCATAATTCTTAGTCTTTCTCCTCCTCCTCCTCCTCTTCCTCCTCCTCCTCCTCCTCCTCTTTCTCCTCTTCCTTCTTATTTATTTTTTATTTAGAGACAGGATCTTGCTAAGTTGCTTAAGTCCTTGCTGAATTGCTGAGGCCGTCTTTGAGCCCAAGATCCTCCTGCCTCAGCCTCCTCAGCGCTGGGATTACAGGCCTGTGCCACCGTGTCTGGCCTTAGTCTTTCTTTTTATTTCAACTCTTGACATTATCCTGTTCCTAATAGAACTTCAGTACTCACATGGGTGTTATAATCACTATAAACTTTCGTGTCCCATTATTTTCCTCATTGATTACCTCCACAGATATTTAACTTCGGTGAACTCATTCTGTGGCCAACCTGATACCCTTCTATCTACAGAGTTAACATCGTCAAGAGTCATCTGTACGTTAGGCCCTTCCTTGTCCAAGCCCCACTCTTGTCAGAAATGATCTCCAGTGGTTCATGTGTCCCTGTCTTCATATTTCCCGGTCTCCATATTCCTGCTTCATCCCCAGAAACACCAGCTCTGATAGCGCATTGTGACCATGAAGTTCCGTATTCCAGTTCCCTATACGCCACAACTCCTGCACTTTGAGCTTATCAGAACCAAAAATCTCCTAACTACATTTAATGTGTGGCCTCCCTCTCCTAATTTCGTTCCATCCCCCACCAAGACTCCATAAGGTCTCACCTCAACAGCTCTCACCTATCTCAAAAAATTCTAAGCTTAGATCCCTTTAACTGTATACCTTCTCCATTTCTATCATTAAATCATTGAACCCAAGTTAAAAATAAAAATAAAAATAGCCTTTAGATGGATACCACCACAATTTCAGTTTTCAATATTTTATGGCAGTCCTTTTTTATGTCTCCCTCTCCTTCTTCTAGTTTTTCAAAATAAATACCCTTTCCTACCTGCATTATCTTTGTATCCAGAAGATGACACAGCACCCACTCCACTTCAAAAATGAAGAAGCTTCTTCTGTGAGTCATAAACTCCCTCCACCTGATGTCCCTCTTCCTGCAGAGTTCACTTCTTGAGCAGTCAGCACACACTGTGCTCTTTTTACTGTCCAAGGATTCCTTCCTGTAAGACCTACCTCTGCTACAACAAAGAACCTCAGCAGTGATCTCCAGTGATTCATATTTCCCTGTCTCCACATCCTTTCACAGTGTTTGGGGGTTGACCATGTGACATGCTGTGACCAATGGGACAACGGCAAAGGTGATGCAAACTGAGTTTTGGCTAGAGCTCATGCCCTGATGTTTGGGAACCCTAAAATATTACCGTGTGAATCCTCTGAGGCTAGCCAGCAGGATGGTGAAAGACACATAGCCTGATTTCTGCTCCAGGAAGCCATTCCACATCATTCAACTAAGGTGATCCACCAGCTGACCTCAAATATCAGCCAAGACGAAAAGAACTGTCTAATCAATATTGGAATTTGTGAAGAATAACAAATATGGGTTGCTTTTTTAAAAAGAAAAATTTGTTGCAGTTGTTGTAGATAGATAGAATGCCTTTATTTTGTTTATTTCTTTTTATGGGGTGCTAAGAATTGAACCCCATGCATCACACATGGGAGGCAAGCCTTCTGCCAAGGAACTACAGCCCCAGCCCTAACTGTGTTGCTTTAAGCTACAAAATTTTGGAGTGGTTCAATATTCAGCAAAAAGCTAATTGATACTGGTTCCATCTGACGTATCTTCTGATTTCTGTATATTCCACTGGCTCCCTTTA